TCGGGAAACTCGTCCAAAATTGATGTTTAACACAATGAGAACGGAGGCTCTTTCTTCGCAGGATTTCGACCCTTTCACTCCGTTCTTTCGCCATTTCCCCACCATTTTGGGCAGAGCACCAAATCATCGTGCCAACTGCCTTTAAGGTCGCTCAGTGTCGCCCATCGTCGCGTGATGTCACTAACTTACAATGTATGATGCTAGCATACACTGCTGTGGCTACAAGGTCGCACTCATATTAGAACAAAAATGGTTCGGGGCACTGCTACACTCCATATCCCAGAGATGAGGAAGGCGTGGCTGCGAATCGATACTTGTTTTGAACATGACGTCGAATTTGTTAATGGGATATTTCGATTGGGAACAAGTGTCTATCAGCTGTCTTGCGACATGATTAATTTGTCCCCGAACGACAAAACCCTACCACAAGGGTACCATCCACTTTCAAATGACGCACACAGCCACACCTCTCCATCTCTAGGATATGGATTGCATGCCCGTTCTTCTGACCCCTTTCTTTGGACTAGAGTTAGTCCTTCAGCCTCAGAACTCAACTGAAATGGGCTATACCTTTCCATCCTTGTTGGTGTCGACAATGTTGAAATGTGACTGTGCTTCTATGATAGCTTCTTCAAGATGAGCTCGAGTGTTGCTAATGATTCGTTCCTCCAGTTCCTTCAGCGACAACGCTCCGTCTTTGTCCTTGTCGGTCCTGGAACGGCGTTGACGTTCTTTACAACAGACTTCATTACTGTACCGCGCTGTAAGTACTAACTAATTGAAGCTGCACAATTTCAATCCTAATTTGGCTCTTAAAAATGCGGGTCAGGAGATCCGAGCTGCGGTGACGTGCAGAAATTGAATCAGTGCGGCGCAACGGTGTGCTGATTTATCTCCGATGCGGCTGCCGTAGCTAGGACCGATCCAGGGGCATCACTTAATTACTTATACTGATTCGAGGCACCTCCGCAAGTTGGACCTCCTGACCCGCACAAAGCTACGACAAAAAGTCTCTTGAGTGGTATCCGCCTCGCACGCGTAACGCATCACATTGCCTCGCCTCCTCTATACGAAAGCAAAAGTTAAATACATGATGATTAAAAATCGAAGGACGAGATACTGCCGTACTCATAGAACATCTTCTTCACCATGTCGCGTAGC